TGCTTTGTTTTTTTGCTTCATTTCTTATTATCAGACCATCATCAATTTATAAAGTCGTATTGGTATATTATTAGATATGGAAGAAGATTGTAATAGATGTTATACGGGCCACCCGGGTAACAATAGCTATGACCCGAGTATTCGAACTCAGACTAGTCTGCAGACTTCGGACCAGGCCCGGACCAGACTCAGACTTGATTAAAAAGTTTGAATATAAAAGTCTGAGTCTGGTCCGAAAACCAGACCAGACTCAAACTTGACTAAAGTCTGGTTCGAGTTCCATCCGTAGGAGCACTATGTGCTTCTATAAAAAAAAAAAATAGTTTAGCCAATAATTACAGTATTGACTCTGTTTTTAATTTCGAAATTCGCTAGATTATTCATATGTTCAGTCCATAAATTAATGTTTGCTTGATTTCTATGAGATTTCTAGTTAAAAAAATATATATAATATGTTATAAATTTCACAATATATATACATTGCAAGCGAAATAAACCATGCGCGTCATAGACGCATTCCCCACTTCAAGCAATCTAGTAGATTGCCCTCTGTGATAATATCGCCCTCTGTGATAATATCACTCGGCTAGTAGCCGCAGAGGTATGGTTCATTCAAACAGCCAAACAGCCCAAACCACGCGTGCCGTAGCACATTCCCCACTTCAAGCAATCCAGCAGATTGCCCTCTGTGATAATATCACTCGGCTAGTAGCCGCAGGGGTATGGTTTATTCAAACAGCCAAACAGCCCAAACCACGCGTGCCGTAGCAAATATGCGAAAAAGAGTAGCTACTTTAAGCCTAGATTTCATTCCACTTGCTTGCTTGTACATGGGTTTTTTTTCTGGAAGCATGTCGAGAAGTGTTTGTAGGTCAATACCAAGTGAATGATGAGAATCTTGTTTGTTCGCTTCAGGTACTTTTTTGATGTAGAATATATCCCAATCTGTGATACCCCATTCATAATGAGGCTTACTCCAATATTCTTAGAAAATAATGTGAGCATTGAGATTAAATGAGCTTATTAAAAACAAAAAGGATAAGGGTTTACCTGGATAACACAGAGCTGAAATTATTTCTTTCTGTAGACTTGTTTTATGAGCCATTAAATTTAGCTGAAACAAATGTAGTTAGAACCTTCAAAGTTCTTTTCTGATGCGTGTTGTGTATATATATAAGACACGTCTGAAATCTGTAGTATAATACAGTAAGGATAACTTTCTCGTGATTGGTTGATCACGTAAATTGAATATTGCGTCATAATTGGTCCCTTTACAGATCATGTGCCAACTGGGCCAATCAAAATTTTTATTTATTATAAAACGATATCGATACAACGATAATAATACAGTATTACAGTATTATGGATTTTGTACACGTACTAACTAAAAACCTTGAATTCATATAATACACAACAACTCAATATTAGAAATAAACTAAAATGATTAATACGATTTTTAAGTTAGACAGAAAAATTATAATATACATCCCATCGTCATATAAAATTGTAATAAATGAACTTTTTATCAAACGTCAAACAATAATTATAATCTCCAGTAATACATAATAAAGTTATCTTAAATATAAACCACAAATGAACGATGTAGAACCTATTTATCAAAAAACAATTACGTTCTTAAATAATACTAAAAACCTCAAATCTGGATTATTAATTTCAAGATCCCGAAATATAAACCCTCCTAGCATTACCACCCTAAAAAATTTTGCTACTATTTCGCTAGCCAATCAGAATTCAATATCTGGTGTAACACGAAAAAAACACAAAAAATCAAAACAAACCAAAAAATCGTTCATAACTCAACATTTTACCTATGAAACTCTTTCTGCGCATTAACAAAAAGTTTTCCTTGCGAAATTTTGGCATTAGGAAAACTTTCTTTAACCTAACTTAATAGCAAAACCTAACCTTAATTTAACTGCG